GAATAGGCCTAGTTTGAATTTACAGCATTGCAAACCATACTCCGTGTATATCGATAAGTTTCAGTAATGCAAGAGAAAGACGATTCGTTTTACCTATTACAAATTGACTCTGACTGCCACCTCTCCTATCGATATCCACCATTGCTACGCCTAAGAGTGTCGAGCCTATCTCAGCCAAATGTCTCATAGCGACGTTCGTAGCGCACGAATTGGTCCATGGCGGAAGGAGATAAAGAGAACTTGCACGTGACAGGGATTCAAGTCGGCAGAAGTCGGTCCGAGTGCCCGTGTGAACAACTCTCTATTCCGACTCGTCAATTGACAAGATCATCTCGACTATCCAACCGCTGCCTGTTATCCTCTCTCTGCCTTCCAGTCCTCTCTCTCACCATGAAATCATCGCCAGGTGTTACTGCATTAAATGGGCAGCATAAAAAGGAAGCTAATACTACTGAAAAGAAAACAGCGGCTGCGATGAAAATACTTATGCAGGATTCTCATACCCTTGCAAACATCACTCTTACGTTTCCTCGATAATTAATCACTTACTATTTACCAACCCTGATTAGCTACCATCAAGGTGTCTCGGATACTCCATAAGTTCATCTCTTTACTCAAGTCATAGCCTCCATTTTAGGTCGGTCTACCCATCAGAAAGGAAGGAAGTTGATCTTATTACTCGTCAGGGCTGACGTGTCATTCAGGCCTTTAACCGCATTTCTGTTCCGTCTACTGATATGAATTAATGGGATCGCATACTTTCATGTATATCCAGGTCGTTCGGAAACACTACCACCGCAGGCCAGTCCTCCATCTTGAGAGGTGGGCGACTTCAGATGCACCAGTGTCTTTTCACCAAAAGCCTTTCTTGTCCTAGAATGAAGTGCTTGGCGCTGAAGCTTTAACGTTCTTCCGTGATGGACTACGTAGCGCGCTCTTAGCTCTTCTGCATTCGATACAGCTTACGACAAGTATCATGACTGTAAGCTCGTCAACTCGGATGTATAAGCTACCCATAAGTCGGCACAGTGTGAACCTTGGTTTCTAAAGCGAGCGGCATCTCTGGTATCTATCCTCTCAGCCGCTTTCATCCTCCTAGGCGTGTTGCGTCTCTTCTCACCTTGCACACAAACATAATGTGCCGCCGTCGCCAGTGAGCAGACCATCCCTGCTGCATCGATATCCAGTCCCTGCTTATCACTTATGTCTAGAGTTAGGAACGTCTACTTCCAATGCGGTCATGCTCTCAACCTCGTATGTCCTTGTATAGATCACCGACCTTGCTAATCGCTGTCAACTTAGGCTGAAGAAATTGTACGTCAAAGAATGCACAATTTTATTCACTTCAGGCTGAGTCTTCGCGTTTACGACGTTTCCCAAATTCGATGCGAAAATTCCAAATGCAAGTTTAGTCTATTCCATCCTAAGAGCTGCCAAACCACCAGTCTGTCTGCATACCTGTTGGCAATAGTACGTCTATACTAGCCTACCTGAATTACCGTCCTCCTAACCAAATTACCTAGCCTTCGCTATCCCGAGCAGTATTGTATACCGTACAATTTTCCCGTTATTTTCACGCTAACATCTACGATAGCCCCCAACATCGACGGATTGTGCCCTTCCTGCTGCTGGGAATACTACCAAGGATATCATTAAAATTTACATTATTATTATATAAACTCGGACCCTACGATGACCAGTTTTCGACTCGAAGGATATAAGTATACAAATAAGGTATTAATAGAAACCCTGTAGAATGCATGCCCCGTATTGCTGAATCATCATTTTACCCACGAGTAAGAATCTGGATTCATTTCCTGCGAAGCGCTCAATGATCTATGTAATAATGATTTAGACGATCACAGATTCTGTCATTGGCGTCAATTCAAGCATGTGCCAAGAAAGGGTTCCGTGCCTCTAGGACCATGCCATCGACGTCGGATACCCTGCGACATGATAGTGATGACGCTTCAAAGTCCAAAAGCCCATCCACTTTCTTAGCCCGGATAAATTAGAATTGATTCTCTGAGTCGGAAGCATTCGTTACCAGTGAATTGCTCAAGTGGCGCAAACATGTAGTTGTTACATCGTGTGACAGGCAAATCTCGCCCAAGTGGCGACTTTTTGAAGGTACTCCACTGAGAGCGATCCTCGGTTCCTGTATGGCATTCCAATTTTCCAACACATGTAGGTTGATATCAGAGATGATAGGGTGTATATATCGGTCGTCGTAGATGTCGACGTGGTAGAGGGAGAAATTAGTGCCCGAAAGAAGGCCAGACACGACGAGCTGCAGCCATAATTCATGAGATTGAAAGAGTGAAAAGAAGATAACCAACCACACCTCTGCTGGCAGGTTTTACACTTGAAATCCCAACGTTAACATCATCCATATCTTATTGACACCGGATTTTCTTCTGGCACCCAAAGCCGTTGATAATCCAGCATGTCTCTGCTCTGCCCTGAGAGGAAGCATCTGGGACGGGCCGACTTAAACTTGTAGTCATGCTTTGTATAACAATCAGTCCCCATGACACAAGAAGAACAGCTCACTTACCCAGATACAAAGTAAAATAAATGCACTTTCTAAAGCTACAGTGTACATCACAGGTCTTTTGAAAAATTCCATGGTGTGTTCGTAATGTGGATCGCTCCGTGGTAGTGGTGGTACTAGTGGGGTGAGGGCCAACGCATCTGCGTGGCATGTCCGAGTCCTATGAATTTTCTTTCCGTCGGGCACATCAGTTTTCATATATTGGCCTACCTGTATATGAACATGTCACGGTCTTTGCCCGTCTTGTCTCGCATCATGTTGACGTCGTCAATATGACCTTCATGTAGCGAATGTCTACCTAATGCAATGCCGTCGTTAAACCATACTTGGTTCTCTGCATCTACAAATCGCGTGGTGAAGTGTCGCACTCCATAATAAACAATACCGGCCAACCGAGGCCACATATGTTCAGGATAGGTGACATAGTGGAAGCGCAATGCTCCATCGTATTCGTGAAGTGCTGAGGAGGCCACATAAGGATGAAAATTATATTGCGACCAAACTACGGTACGCCACGAGCAATGAACGAATAAACACACAAACTAACATTATTTCAGAACACTGCGAAGAAGAAGAGTGTTGCGAGCGACAAGGACCCGCAACGCACGCCGAAGATGAAGCGACAAATCGGGTTCGAGTACGAAGAGGAAGAGATAGAGACGGGAGGCAAGCACAGGAGAGACGGTAAGGTACAAAGTAGAAGGGGAAGAGGCGGAGGCGGAGGCACATTTTGAAGGAGAGAAAGAAAGAGATATTGGAATGACAGAGTAAGCTACATGGAAATAGATGAAGTAGAGATGACGAACGAGCTGACTTATGGGGCGATGAGGAAGAATAGAAAGAAACGACGAGAATATAAGAGAGAAAAACGGAAAAAGAAAGCAAAAAAAGAAAGTCAAATGAGAAAGAAAGAAAGAAAGAAACGGGCGGAAGAGGAAAAAAGCGAATATGTGAAACAGTGGAAGCAAAACGGAAAGTAACGGGTCAGGCAAGCGGATAAAGACGGCATTGAATAGAAATATTCCCACGGTAAGGCCCAGTAGGCGAGTCGGCAAAACCCGATAAGGTTTGATACCTCGAATAGATTTTCCCATGATAATTCAAACTGGCATAATAACCGATACCTATATTCATAGGACTCGGAACTGGCGGCGGGCGCCCGTCCCAATAAGGAATGACCAGTCCAAAGAAGTACGTGCACGTAACAGAGATAGAGTCGGTGTCCCGGTCCGTGTACGGGTCCGATGAGCCCTGTTCGTTCCATCTGCATCAGGTTCTATCCCAGCCTTCATTGGTATAGCACTATCAAGTTAAGAAGTTCTTCATGCTACTATTTCACTTCCCAAAAGTTCCCATTTTACTTCGTTACCATCGAATTGCTACCTCAAACTCAACCCTAAAGGCACTGTTAGCAGGCTCTCTCAGGACCTCAAGTTTCGTGGACTTGAACGAAGTTACCTCGCTTTCCTGTTACCTGTATGCTCCTTTGCTTCTCGTAATTTACATCAGTCTAGGAATATGCAGCACTTTATTCTCGGTGATTCTCCCGTTTTGTTCACCATGACTAAGATTACCTTTACCTTGCTGGTAAGCAAGGTCTACCCGACCCGAAACTTCCCACCTATATTTACTCCCGAAATCTGCCAATTACAAATGTTCATTTGTATCTATTTGTTCACCTCGTCAACTCCCTCTGACCCTTTTCCTGCTTGAAATCTGCCAACATGAAAATCTTATTTGCCACTCTTCAACCATTCCCATTTCCATCTCGGGGCGTTTATAAAACTTTCTGGCACTTTCTGTCGCCTCGCGTTTGCTCTTATAAGTTGTGCCCACCCCCAATACTGGCTGCGAACGACGTCGCATCACCACCAATATTACAAGATATCAAAACACATGATATACCTGGAGGATAGCTGCCTATATCACACCATTAATGAGAAATTTGCAGAGACTGAATAAAGGGCTTCAGCAGTTCCTGGAGTGGCTCAAGGAATATAAATATGCATCTCCTTCGTCTCCTCAACTCCCATTGTGTCGATTTGGACCTCGGTTAGCCTCTGTTCTGTTCCGTGTTCATCACCTCCTCATTTCTTCACTACAGATTGACAATACCGCCCCAAACAAAGGGCTCCTATTGTCAGAGCACTGTGCTTGTTAGACTATCTCAACTATGGGAAGAACCAAATGTGCACCTCTTAGGCTTTGTATGCTCATATTTTCCAGTTTACTAAAAGCACTTGGGCCTGCAGAAGATGCTGATCCGGCAGCCGTAAACACCTATGACCCCACCCTGTGCATGAATGACAAATCAGAACAGATCGGACGCAATGAATACGTCTCTCTTATCCTTGCGCAACTCAAGGATCTCTGCTTCCCTATCGACCGCATGCAAATCTGGGACCAAAACTGGCTCAAGGCGATGAACCCTCCCGTCTTGATCAATGCAGTCTCTTCGTTCCCCAATGTCTGCATCCTGGATTTTCACAATGTCGAGTGCAGCAAAGATCAGTTCATCTCTGTCCTTAGGTCTTACCCCAAACTCACGGATCTGAGACCCAGGACATCAGTATTCAAGAGTACGCATCGGGTAGCAGTGCGCATGCAGACCCAGTGCCACTTCTGCCAGTGCCAGCCAAATTCGTAATGCGCTGCAAGGGTCGGATATCCAGCAAATCTCTATATATGTCGATACTACTACTAGATGGATCTTCCTCGATCTTTTCGCGAGTTGCCGCTCCCAGTTACATTGCGCAACCTGACCAAGCTCACTCTCTGGCACCATTCAAATGTAATATGCAATGACGCCAACTTTGTTCGTCGACTTTCCCACTTTGTCAGGCCTTGTCCCAATCTAGGAGATTAACATGGACAAGTTTCAATATAGGCAAGTCCATGTGTCATGACTCTTCTACCGCACTCTGATTTAATCTTCCTTTCATGTATAATCAGTCCTCTCGAGCCACTTGGCCTGGGCAACACCATCCATCCCTCATGTCCATTTGTGTCCTCATCACGGGCAACTTTGAGACGAACATGACACTCGACTGGTGGGCCTCCACTTTGAGGCAGCTCAAACATCCACTCTCCAGGATGACTATCGAAATCGAGTTTGATATCGAGAATATTCCCCGTGAGGTATAGGACAAGTTTCCTCCTGCCCGTACTCCTGCTTGGGCGGCTCTTGTCCTCTTGATGGACCTCACCTGGCCTCGGCTCAAAGTGTATGAGATTCATACAAGACACTCGAGTCTCAGCGGGTTTGGGAAGATTTCAACATGAGCGCGATGTCGATGTGCTTTTGTCAAGTGTCTCCCTTAGAGTAAAAAGAAATATGGGAGGAATTTCACCGGTTAGTGAAGGAAAGATCTCCTCGCCCCAAATATGTATGTGTTACACTCCTCTGAACAATTTGAATTACATACCTCTTCCTCATACATCTAATTTACTTATAGCTTTGTTGTCCCTCTAACATGTATGAACTGTCTCTATTATATTGAATTCATTATAAAGAAGATTCTAGTCGCCGTCAGCGTTACTCGTTCAAATACTTGAAGACATTCTTCTCGTGGCTCTCCACAGCAAATCAAACTCCATTTTGCCGCCAATCTTATTCTCAACTTTCGAGCCTGTGTCTTCGGCTTGACGAGGCGGAATCTTGACCGTCTGCCGGGTATTCTATTGGTTTAATTTCTTGGAATATCATCGATTTTTTATCGAACCTATAGTGACACCACGACTTGAGCAAATACCAGCAAGGTCGTACACGCCTCGGCACGTGGCGAGCCCTTGTGCTGAAAAGCAACCCACAGTCATAAAGTTTCCTTTTCCGTCATCTGCCATAAGCAAGTAAGTACAAATAGGTGGCTGTGCTCAATTCAGCAGTCCCCTTCCTATACTCTCGCATCTACCAAAACCAAACAATCACAACATAGCCGTGCAGCATGTCAAGACTCCGTACTCAGTACTCAGCTGTTTACCATCTCGATTCTATCGTACCTGTAATACTAGCTTCAAAAAGTCGCCTCGCATATTGAACCTGGACAGCCGGGGAATGCTTGAGAATTATATTGGATCGTGAGTGACTAATACCTTCTGTGTTTTCCCTTCGCTGATGCGTCGCACTCTATAGTTTGTTCCACTTACGAGGACTAGTACTACTCATCGCTGTCCTAGCACAATTAACACTGCATCTGTCCTTCCCTATGTTCTACCAACAAGAAGCACGCTTTCTCACTTCGTCTCCGGACACTTGCAGAGGAAAAGTCTCCCTTTGGCGTCCCGTGCTCGATACACGAGAACATTGTATCCAACAAGATCATTATCGCGTATATCAGCCAGCAAGATGAGGATCGGTACAAGCTTGTAAAAGACGACCACAAGGTGATAGTTGAGGTGCTGAAGGAGCTCGTCCAGGGGAAGAATATGGGAAATGGCGAAGCAGAGTGGAAACTGAATGCTTTTCTGGCAGAGTGAATAGCCAAGTATGACCAGGACCAGAGCTAGGTGTGATCGCCTGGACCACCTGGGAATGAGCTCGCCCATCTGCTGTTCATGGCCCCGATGAAGCTCTCAGCTACCCTCGATATATTCTATTCAGGTTTTCACATGGTGCACGCAGTCGATATGATATTGGCGAGTACATCTATTAGTGCTCTACGCCATTGTTCCTCAACTGTTCACTAGATTCTGCCATTCTCCTCCCATTCGCCGTGTATCCACCACACTACGACGAATCGGCATCAACCCCAACCCAACGACCCATCCCCATGACTCTGCTTCAGTCGTTCATTCCCTCCCGATATTGCGTTATCCCTTACCACTCAACGACGTCCACCTGTTCCCGCTGCGTCGGTCTCTCGATGGACGGTGAACGTGCGTTGATGGAAAGTGGAAAAGGACCTTTATTTCTGTCTGGAAAGGAGGGAGTGAGGCGGTCCTTGGGAACTAGGGGAGAGTATGCCTGGAAACTGGAGGCTGCGTAAAGTACGACCCCACCCCATCCTGGTGTGTGGGTGTCCGAGTTTTGGCCGGAGACGACGGATCGTCTTCTGGCAAGCAAGACGTCTGCGTGATGTGGTGGTGAGATGAGGTGTCACCTCGACTACCCACTCGTGCCTGCCTGCCATCGTCTGCGCCTAGACGATGTATTCAAAACTGGCTCACACACTCACGGCGAAACCTCACATAAGGTAGAGGCGGCAGGCAGTCTTAGGAGGGGCTAGTTTTCTTCGACACCATGTATCAACATCTGGCGAGCGAGGGCATGGCGTCGGGGTATTGTTGGGGATACAAAGAGTATAGGACTAGGGTGAACTGGACATGGTACGCACGTCGCACGATGTCGACTGTCTTCGTTACTGATCATTCATGTTTAGGCTGTTATTGTACACCTCTCACCCCAGCCTGTTCCTGGACGACAACTTTTGCGCCGACACGATGTATCGACGTCCGGTGAACAAGCGCACGGCGTCATGGCACTGGTCGGAATTTTGGAATAGATCATGGGTCTGAATTCGGGGGCTCTTATTAGAGATGGTTCGGCACTATGCAGTGTGGATTTTTCAATGCACAAATGATCTACGACGTATACGACTGGTACATCGGTATTTTGTGGATGAATCTATTTGTAGTACTACGATGTAAGCGCCATCAAAGAAGCAGACGTGCCACGCAAGCACTTCGTAACCAAATCTCCAAATCTTATCACCGTCAACGAGTTTCGCGCCGACGAAATAATTTGTTTGTTATTATAAGTCCAGGTGAGTGACATGAATGTATTTCATTGGACTTGCGTAGATCAACCCGAACAGGAATCATCGCTTTCGGTGTTTCCTTACGTGTTTTGAGTCGGGTGCATTACCAATGAAAAGGTTAACTCCTCAAGAAAGGGACGGCGGCGGGATTCAAGGACGGGATTCAGGACAAGATTCAGCAAGGTCGTATTCGCCTCGGCACGCGGCGGGCACTTGTAATCCATAGATGTGTTCAGAAGTTCGATCTATGCTCGCCTGTTTTTGCCTAAAGGCGTGGCGTCTAGCTGTGGCATTCAGTTAGTAGCTGACTGAATACACACATAAACCGGTTTGTGTCAGAAATTGCAATCACCGTTTGGGAGAGACTCTGGTAAACGCTACATTGAAATGTATGATACGATGTTTATTCAGTAGGTGTCAACGGATCGGATATCCGCCGATTCGGGTCTATCTTGACATCGGTCATGAATACCATGTCCCCGTTGGTTTCGGGCGTGTTTCAATGGCGTGTCCCTGGCATCCCCACACTTACACCAATTAGAATGCTGACTCTCACGTAGGCTTCTTCTTAGAGCCCAGAATAACTTTGTTTCACTGGGTTTCTATGCCAGTACTTGCCCCGCATCGCCGCGCGCTTGCTAGGCTATTTCCACATCCGTAGTGCCTGCGTGAATGTGCCCGTTTGCGCTTGGAGACTTGGCTTTATGTCATTTTGTATTTCGCCCAACGCCTTCGAGGATCGATCCTTTCTGGATACACACTCGGGTTAATTAACGGAGACAGCAGTTTGAAATTTCCGGGCATCAAAATCCACCCATGGTCGATTGGGTTGCTTCTGCGCATGTCCTGTATGACGGAACTTGATTTTGAATATGATCATTTTCGACTTAACGTTCTAGATCGCCTGTTCTTTCCACCTATAGTTCTGACGCAGATTAAGTACACGCTGACTTCTTGGAAAATGTAGATAGACAGATGGAATGATGGATTCAAGAATTACTTACTCAGCTTGTTGAATTGAACTACTTTTAATTACTAAGGCTATCTTGTGACCGTTATCTCTCTAGTCTTCTCTACAAAGCACAGCTTCCATGTCTTCTGTCCGACACTTTTGCCGGCAGTGTTACGAGGAAAATCTGGATCATAAGGATTACAAGGGTAAGATGATTGGAAAGAAGCAGAACAAACCAGCCCAACTTTGCGTGCATTTTAGTTTCGGAGGCGCCTCATAGACCTTACTACGAAATATTGACCCCCCCCCAATCTTCTCTGTTAGGTGGACCCTCATTATCAATGCGGTAGCCCTCTCCAATGTCGCGCCTCGCGAACATCAAATTAAGTGAAACTAGGTAAGAACTTCCACGTGTTCCCAGGGTCCTCCCGCCGATACTGATTGATTAACATCTTTTCTGACTTGAGTCTGTACCCTGTTGTTGTATATCCAGTTCTGTTCGGAAATAATATCGCAAACGTTCCTATGCTGTCTTGAGAGCCCGCGGATGACTTCAGATTTCTACGATGTCTTCTCATCAAGTTTCTTACTCGCCGTAGAATAAGGTCCCCGCGTATAATGGTGTTTCCCTGATGAACTTGGCAGTGTTCTCCCGGATCTTCTGCTGAAACAGCTGACTACCAGTATTGCGACCTTGTAAGTCCCAGTCGCGTCGACGGCCTTAGCTGCCCAATCGTTGCCCTGAGCTTATAAAGTGAGTCCTATCTCTGATATCTTCCATCCTCCCAGTCGCATTTGACCTCGTGTTTCTTCCTTTGCCCCTTCATTGTATACATGATGTGCCGCCGTCGCCAGTGAGCAGATCCTCGTCATTTCGTCAATATCTACTCTCTGCTTATCACTTAACTATAGAGTAAGGAACATCTATCTCCAATGTGGCCATGCTATCAACCTCGTATGCCATTACTATTCTGATATACTGACTACCAAAATTTACGGGTCATCGGTAACTTAGCCTGACAAAATCGTATGTCAAATACTCGCAATATCAGCCATCTCAGGTTCATTTTTCACATTTCTTCTCAACTTTTCTTAGATTCAGTGCGAGGAGTCTAAATGCAAGTTTAGTCTATTCCATCCTGCGAGCTGTAAACCGCCAATTTGTCTGCGTACCTGCTGGCAATAGTATGTATATACCTGCTTGAATCACCCTCATTCTAACCCGTAGCCTACAGTCCTTCGCTATCCGGAACAGTATTGTATGTTTTGGAATTTCCCGTTCTTTCCCACTAATATATATGATAGCACCCAATATCAGAGGGTATTGCCCTTCATGCTACCAGGGAACGCAATACCGAGGACGTCAATAAAAAACGATTTACTCCGTCGGTCATTATTACTATAAAGTTAGATCACACGACGAGCTTTCGACCCAAAGGATATTAGTTTTTCAAGTAGAAGACCGCTGATCTTGTTTAGCTACTAATGTCCCGGAGTTCTGAGTCCTCATTTTCGTCACCCTAAGTACGGTTTTGAATTCATCTCATGCGAAGCGCTTGACGATCTGTGTTTCTTGATGCCGGACATCCCTGATCGACGAACTGCCCCATGCGGATTCAAAAAAGATTTACTGTATACCACAGCCATCTCTACCGCAGACCTTGGCGTGTGATATGATGATATTTGCGTCCGGCACACCTAAAGGTCCGGGGCCCCGCAATGATGAGATAATGACTGGGACCCTTCAGACCATTTGCCTTCACCGATCGGATAGATCGTGATCGTTCGGATCTTGGATCGAATTCTGGTTCTAGAATTGTAACAGTAAGCAGGAATGGACCGATTCGAACTGAGGTCGTCAATGGTGTACGAAAAAGTCCCGGTGAATTCGCCATTGCGATATGATTCGTTGGTCCGTAAGGACGATCGATAGCTCTGTATAATCTATACGAATGAAGGAAGCTAGAGAATGAAAAAGAGATCAAGGTTGGGAGTCAGTTCTCCTCGCATTAATTACCCTGAGTGCCGAGACGAGGTCGTCCTCTGTGCATACGAGGCCAATATTGGTTCACAGAGGTCGAATCATTACAAAGAGAACGAAATTTCGCAATGAAATACCACCCTGGGAAAGCACTTTTGGGCTGAGTCTATCGTGTATTCAACAAAGAAACAAAGTTACTGGGGGTGCGACCAAGTATCATGCAAAGGTGGACTTCAAGCTATTGACGGCAAGTCTGCAGGCGAGGGTTGATATAGCTAAGGCGCATGATGTCTGGTTTTCCCCGCAATTCTCCTCTGGCTGGCGGCACTGAAACGTGGGTATGGGGTAGGCATGCTTCGCCACTGCGGGGGACAACCACCCATTACCGCAGGCAGGTAGGTACATGATAGAATCACTCAACAGGCGTTTGCGTGGAAATCTTTGAGCTTCGAGATGATGTCGCGGCGAGTGGTATTGATATCCATGTAGAATCAGGTAAAGTATGTTGTATCTTCACATATTATGCGGCCGTCATGTCGTTCATTGCGAAGAACAGGTGGGATGTAGAAAGGTAGCATTTGAGAAGGCAGGCCAGAGGTCCATCGGTGGTCGAGATAGGCTACCATGGTGGCCTTATTTCAAATGACCGATCTAGTGAAGTAGCCTTGTATGATGGATATAGAAAGTTGCGTGCACTTCGGGCTAATGGTAGCGGCGCCAATCTTTTTCGCAAGAGCTTTGACGCCGAACACAAACAACTTCGTGTGCTAAGGCTTCAAGATCGGAAAATATCTGCAACATAGATCCGTCAGTTTCGAGACGAGCAAGTGACGAAATGTGTGTACTTGCCTCGTCTGCTGGGTGGGCGCGCTGCCGGTCTGTAATGCGTGATGGCATTGCGCGCAATGAGCCTTTTCGTGATAACGGCCTTGAGGGCGATTGGTTCCGATGTTTACGACCGCGCCAAATCACATCAAGAAGAGAGTGGTCTGAACCAGCGAAACGCATGCCAAAACTTTGGGCTAAGTCTCGGCCAATCAGGCCCATGGTGTTGGTGGCGATGAAGTTATACGAGCCAACGACGATTGAGGGAGGGAGGACGAGCGAAACAAGTTGAGTATGGGTTCGCCCCGCTGAGTGGAGTGAAACCTTGTCCCGCAGTACACTTTCAGTCACTGACGAGGTCGTATGGCGAGGGTCGGCCATAGCGACTCCTCTTTCTCCCCAGAAACTCTCTCATAGTACCAATATGGAGGTCGTCTCGTCCAACGTCCTTTCCATTCACGGGTTTTCAGCCACTCTAGAATGCACGTCGGATTTTCACGACATCGTCAAGCACCCTGTCGGTCAATATCGTAGCTGATAGTGTGACGATGACTGTGATGCCGCCTGCCCCTCGCAGAGGTGGGGATATGGTGATGCTGACATGTGGTGATCATCGCTGCACATGCCGGCGTGGTATAGAGGCCGGCTTTCCGCGATTTGAAAGGTCGTAGCCCGGAATCTGTTTCGCTCGATTGTACACAAATGTGACAGACGGGGCATATGTCACGAGTCTCTAGCGAAGATGGTGAAACAAAACCAATGGCTATAGAGCGGACAGCCGTGAGTTTGAGGCCAAAGAAAAAAGACGTTTAACGCACAGATCTTCAAATCTCCTTAATTAACACCTTCCTCAGCGCATTGGTAACTTTAAGACCTCGATACTAGCACCCATCCAGCATTTCTTGTGTGCAATTCTCGTTCCTGGTTCTCCCTGGTAATGGCACTTATTCTGGTCGCATGACGCGGACACATGAGGTTGAGAAAATGAACACAAGTCTTTTACTTTAAATTTTCAAGTCAACGTTCCAAGAATGCTGAGTATACTTCGGCTCCTGCAAAATCTTTGATAGCGGCGTTCGTAGCGCATGTTGGTCCATGGCGGGAGGAGATAGAGGATAGGTGAAGTTCGAATTTTTCACGTGCCTTTGACCTCATGCCGAAGACCTGCCGGCTGATAATAGCCCGTCCAAAGGGTTCACTGTTAGGCCGATCCGAGGAGATCCGAGGAGATAAAGGGAACTTGCACAGCGATTCGCCACAGTTCGATAGAAGCGTCTGTGTGCTGGTGAATATTTGTTCCGGCCCGATCGCAAGAAGTTAACAAAATCTTCTTGATTATCCAACCACTTCCTGTTATCGCCTCTCGCCTTCCCAGCCTCAGGCAATCTTCGCCAGGTGATAAAATATTAAATTGGACGACAAAAATAGGAAGCTAATGCTGAAAAGATGGTGTATAGCCGCAATGAAAATAATTAGTATGCAATTCTTATACCCTTGTAAATATCACTCTGATAATGCCTCGATGATTACCACCAACCCGGGTCGTCTACTATCAAACTGTGTTCAGTGAGTTGATCTCTTGTGCTCGAGTCATAGCCTCCATTTTTAGGTCAGTTTCACCCATCACTGGGCTGACGCGTCATGCAGCCGCATTCTGTTCCGTCTACTAATACGGATCGACGGGATTGCGTATCTTTTTGTTGTATATCCAGACTGCTTAGAAACACCACCACCAAAGGCAGGTCCTCTGTCTTAAAAGGTGAGTGACTTCACATCTTCCGCTGTCTTCTCACCAAAATTCTAACTCCCGTAGAATGATATGTTCAGCCTTGACGGCCCTTCCACGATAGACTCGGTAGCGTGGTCTGAGCCTTAGCTCTTTATTCGACACAGCTTAGCACCAATATTATGACTGTGCAAGTCCCGGTCAACTCGGCATAAACTACTTGTAGTCAGCACAATCGTTGACCTTGGTTTATAATGCGAGTAGTATCTCTGGTATCTATCCTCTCAGCCTCCTCTTTCGACTTCCCAGGCGTGTTGCGTCTCTTCGCGTCTTGCCCAAAAACACAATGTGCCGCCGTCGCCAGTGAGCAGAACCTCCCTACTGCATCAATATCCAGTCCCTGCTTATCACTTATGTATAGAGTCAGGAATGTCTACCTCCAATGCGGTCATACCGTCAACCTCGTATGTCCTCATATCAATCACCGACCTTGTTAATCGCTGTCCATTTAGCCTGAAAAAATTGTATGTCAATAAATGCACAATCTTATTCACCTCTGTTCCTTGGGTTTTCTCACTTTAAACGTTTCCCAGATTCGATGCGAAGATTCCAAATGCAAGTTTAGTCTATTCCATCCTGAGAGCTGCAAACCGCCAACCTGTTCCCATACCTGTTGGCAATAGTACGTCTACACTGGCTTACCCGAATCGCCGTCTTCCTAACCCAAGTCTCTAGCCTTCGATATCCCGAGCAGTATTGTATATCGTGTATTTTTCCCGTCATTTCACGCTAACACCTACGATAGCACCCAACATCGACGGATGTTGCCCTTCCTGCTGCTGGGGAGTGCAATACTACCAAGGACGTCAATAAACAAAGATTTGCATTATTATATCGACTCGGACCTACGATGACCAGTTTTCAATTCGAAGGAATCAGTATACAAATAAAGTATTAATAGAAGCCCTGTCACCAGAATGCATGCCCAGTGTTGCTGAATCATCATCTTGACCACGAGTAAGAATCTGGATTCATTTCCTGCGAAGCGCTCAATGATCTATGTAATAAAGATTTAGACGATCGCAGATTTCGTCATTGGCATCAAATTCAAGCATGTGCTAAAAAAGTTTCTGTTCCTCTAGGACCGTCTCGACCAGTATTATTACGATGGGTACTACTCATACCCTGAGCTTATCCAGAATCTCATCTGGTGGGATTGTTGTGACATTCTGTGACACAACACCATCATTCGTTTTCAAATCTCTTCTTAAAATAAAGTTTTTTTATACGACTTGAATTGAACAGGTTCCCATAGTGATGAGTAATTGAAAATAAAATTCCTATTTACTTATTTATCTACAAAAATTGTTGACTAAGTTGTCCTACTGAGAAGGCTGCCTAGCTCTTTTCCCTTGGTAAGAATCAGAATCCGTCAACCCGAACCCGGAACTGGAGAGTAGGGCTTCGCACCGTACCGTATACGGTATACGGCCGTATAGCCACGGTACAGTGACGGGCGACGGCTGGTCCGTATACCGTACCGTCAAGGCTCTCAGAACTAGGCTGACGGTACGGTACGGGTATATAGACGGCCGTGCCGGTCGTCAATACGGCCGTAAGGTAGTGGGAAAATGTATTACTCGCCATATTTGACAGGTGCACCGGCCACCCGTGGGCAATGTATTTCGAAACATGAGCGGGTAGTAAAGGGATGAACAGGAGTAGGGCAGAGGCAGCAGAAGTAGGGAAGAGCAAGTATTTATGCCTGCCATAAGAAATAGAGCTTCATGTGAGCGAGCGAAATAAGAGCTAGCTGTAGCGTTGAAGAGATCGCAGTGCTAGCGCATCGTGGTACGATGTTGAGCACATGGTAAACACACGTATAGCGTGCTCTGATGAGGGTTATTTTTAGACAACCCACACGGCCGTCGAGCGCCGTATAACGGCCGTCTTTATACGGTTGTTAACGGGCGACGGGATATCCGTATACCGTCCGTGTCTGGGCAAAGTCTTTTGCCAGACGGAACGGATACGGTACCCGTATGACGGCACCCGTACAACCGTACTATACGGTGACGGTGCGAAGCCCTACTGGAGAGTCCAAGAACGTCGGTGTCCTCATGCTCAGATCTTTCCTGGCGGTAGTGTTGGTTGAAAATGAGCGAATATTCTTCTTCATCCCGGTAACGAAGACCATGGATAACGTTGAAAAGAGGGGGAGAGCGCGGTGGATATGTTTCGCTGGGAATTGTCGTGGTCGGTGGAGGTTTGGGCAGACGGAGTGGTTTCGTTGGGTATTTTGAATATAATTTTCGAAAACGTTAGCAGCAATCAGCGCGTACGCTTCACCAAGACCAACGTCCAAGGTCCAGAGAAGTGACGCAGTGTTGCGGTCAGAAAGGGGGACCAGCAGAAATCATAGGTAGAGGTCGACTCTGCTAAATACAAGCTCAGGTAAATAATAGTAAACTATCATCGACCCCGTCGACTCGAGGTCAGCTTGCACAGCCACCGACTTGAGGCCTGCATTCATCGCACAACGTCAGTACCTCGTTCTTGAAATTTGTCACTCAGGTTTTACGTATTGTCACTCATCTCATCTGGATCTAATCTTTAAACAAGCTCAGGCTAATAAAGTTTATCGAGTAGTACCCATCGTACTATTCCGTGTCGACGTCGGATACCGTATGATATGATAGTGATGGCGCTTCAAGGAATCTGCCTGTGGAACTGAGTGGTGATTCAACGCCTTTTCCTACAACAGCGTGTCACGCGGTCGGAAGCTCTCAGGTACTTCCCCCATCATTCCATCCTACTCTTCGTCCTAACCATCCTCCTTGTAAACCACAACAACGGGGAAATCGCCGTGTTTACGAAGCACGATACTCTCCACGTAAAGTCACCATCACATCCCTCAAACCACTTGCTTATCCTTCAAGGTTCTCTTTCGCATTTGCAGATAGCTTCTCTCACACTTCGCCCTCTGGAACCTGCATCTTTGGAACTCCGCCGACACCGCCATCGTACTTTTCATCCTTTTCGTTCAGTACGGGAGGAGGGATGGCTGGAAGGAAAGCGAAAGCGTCGATTACTGCGTCGGAGAAGGGAAGGTGGGGTATCATCGTCCAAGTGGGTGTTGATGTTGGTACCGGCATAAGGTCCCAAGAAGGAACGACCAGGCCCACAGCCCTAACGTAGCGAGGTACGCGCTGGGTATGAGCACAGATCCCGAGAGGGGTACGTTTCATCGAGATGGGCCACTATGGCGGCCGTGTCTGAGATGGCGGCACCAGTGAAGCAGTCTTGGATGATGGGTATGGACAGTCGCTCGCGCTGGGAGGTAGCGGCGCCAAACCTTGCTGTGAGAGCTTTGACATCGGATGTCGGCACCAAGTTGTCGAGGTTCAGACAGTATCTGCAACATTGATTCATCAATTTTGAGACGAGCCAACAACAGAATGTATCCATACCCCGTCCGCTGGATGGCCCGCTGCTAGTCTGTAATACACAGGATGACGTTGCTTGGGCTGAGCCTTTCTGAGACAAACGACCTTGAAGGTGACTGATGCTGGTATTCACGTCCACATTGAATCACAGTGATAAGAGTGATATGAGGTCATGAAATGCATGCCAGGACTCTGGGCCAAGGTTTGACCGGTGGACGAATTGCTCGTCTTTCATTCTGATTGGTAGCAGTGAAGCAGCAATGAGCGTGCTCTTGGAGACTGTCGCGCCTAGTCTCAACAGTGAGATTGGACATTTGCTAGAGAAAAAATGGTCACGTACCCATTCCAAGACCTGCATGTATGCGCTATTATCATGCCATGGTGGAAGCGAAGCCAACATTGCTGGGTAGTATTGTCGGCGACGCCCAGGCAGTATCATGATTTCGTCCCAAGTGTGGTGTCTGCATCGTCCGTGAGGCTCGTCCTACAGAGTTCAAGGTAATGCACCAACTTTTTCCCGCACCCTTGCCTGGTCAATATGGTAGCTGATAGCGTGATGACGACGGTCATCGTGCCTCCTGCAACTCCTCACAGTGGTGGGTGTCGATATGTGGACATCGCTCGCCGTAAGTGCCAGTGTGGTAAAGGGACCGGTATTCCATGATTTGGATAGTTGGAGCCCATGCCCTGTTTCGCTTGGCTGCACGAGTGCGACAGATGCCGGGGCATGAGACTTCAGCAATGATGATAAAGCAGGAACGATTACTAGCAATAGCTATGAGTTTGAGAAGTAAAGAAAAAAAATAATTAACGCACAGATCTGCAAGTCTTCTTAACTAACACCCTCCAGCGCAGTGGTCACCAACGTCGACGTTTTTTCTGAGTAGGTCGTCAATGACCATCTGCTCCATTGTTGCGCTATTCCAACGGGGAGTATGCGGAATAGGCCTAGGCTGAATCTACGTCCTGTATCCATACTCTGTGTATACTGATAAATTTCTGCAACGCAAGAGAAAGACAATTGTCTTACCAAAACGCAAAGGGACTTCGACTGTCAGTCCCTAGTATATATCCACCGCTGCTGAACATATCTCAGCTCCTGCGAAATCGTCCTTAGCGACATCCGTGACGCATGATAATGTTGGTCCGTGGTGGTCCAGGTGAGGAGTTAAGTGCACGTGGTAGAGATCGCTACAGTCGGTCCGTGTGCCGGTGAGCGTTTCTTCTTGGTTCCTTCACTCGATACGAAGCTATCAATCTAAGAAGATATTCTTCAAGCTGGTGTTTTGCTGCATACTATACTCTCGACTATCAAGCCGTTACGTCGAGCTAGGGATCAACTCTCAATGCCCTGTTTTCCCGAAGTTCTTTCCACAAGTGATAAAGTATCAACTCGTACACTCTGTTCTGTGTCCACGATGCCCTACGAATGTCACCCTGACAAATATCTCGACGCTTACCAGCGGCTTTCTGTCATAAAACTGTCTCGAATCTCTACAGGTTGAAACGCTTGTAGTCCCGGATTGCTTTACTCAAATGCTCTACACTATTGAAAATGCTCTATACTAAAGGAAGTCTACTAGTTGGCTTTTCCCCGTCGAGTCCTCCCCATCTTGTATCCCCATTGTATCTGGTGCGCAAGATGTATATCTACACCAAGGTCTTGCGCATATCTTAGCACGAGACCTGGATTCTGTTGGAAGGCTCTACCGCACAATACCACATCAGCTAGACCGTCTTCCAACACGCCTTGCGCGGTGTGACCGTCAGTTATACCTCCTACGGTGGCGACCAACAATCCAGGATTGGTTCTCCTCACGGCATGTGCTAACGGTGACTGGTACGCAGGACCAGGAATAATCTTCTGCTTGTTGTTGTTGCCGCCAGCCGACACATCCAAAACATCAACACCGTGAGCTGCGAGAATAGGCGCGATTCTGACGGTATCCTCCGAACGCCACGAGGTGATATCGGGGAGCGTCTGTTCTACACATTCACTGCCTGATATTCTAGCGAACAAACGTGTTAGTAGCCGACCATTGGTACCAATCAAACCGACTCACCTGTAGAAAAGTGGCATGCCGGGAGGCATCACAGACCTAATCGCGTCGATTACTTCCAAAGCGAAACGAATACGGTTTTCAAAGCTTCCACCATATTCATCGGTGCGATGGTTACTAGTTGGACTCATGAACCCAAACAGCAAGTAGCCATGTCCACCATGGACCTCGAGAGCATCGAACCCGACTTTCACAGCTCTCTCTGCCGCCTTCCTGAATGCGTCCACCACCTCTTTGATCCTCTCCCTCGACATCTCCTTCGGCAACGGATAGTCGTCATTGAATCGAAGCGGTGACGCAGCATAGACATTATCAGCCCATCCTCCGAGCTCCTCCGTCGCCAATTTAGGGCCAGGTAACCATGGTGCGGTGATGGACGCTTTTCGGCCAGCGTGTCCCAGCTGCATGGCGATCTTCTGGTTCTGCGAATGCGCGAACTCGACGATAGGCGCCCAGAGAGCCGCATGTTCGTCCAACCAGATACCAGCATCTTCGGGAGTGATGCGGCCCTCTGGAACGACGGATGTAGCTTCGGTGAATGTAAGTCCAGGACCACGGGTGAAGATGCCGCCAACTATGAGACGATGAGATACTATTAATTAAGGAACATATAAAACGAACGATGCGCGAAATGCCAGGGGGTTATCTTGCCATCCTTCGCTGAATACTGGCACATGGGCGATACCTATACCAAGGGGCCATTGAGGACGTTGTCATGGCCTCGTAAGATGACTTACAAAAATCCTGTTCTGCACAGTTAACCCTCGTATCGTGAGCGGCTGGAAAAGAAGCGGTATAGGTTTATCATCGGGTTGGGAAGGGGCGGCGGTCCCAGCAGGGGGGTTTTGCTCGGGCGTGAAGAAAGAGACGCCTTTGGCTGCTACGTTGGCGTTCATGAGAACGATTTGAAGGGCTGGTAAAGATCTAAATACTGGTCTTGTCTGCAGCTTTTATAATCGGCTTGCGATAAGATTTCGGTAGCATTCTTCTGTACACAGCCCGGCGTGAGTGAATAGAAATGCTGAGAAACCCGGAGATCAGTTTCCGGGTCCTGGAAATATAGAGAGACTCGATTGTATATCATACTAAAGGTGATTTCAAGGCTTACCTACTTCTTACTACATGAAGGACATTTGAAGGGCATCCAACGATTCAGATAAGCCTAGTTCGGCAGCAGCAGCTAGCACCATACGATGAGAGCATATATGAAAAGGCCCTTTTAATCCTAGGAAAAGCAATTCAGATGAAATCTTTCGAACGGAATTCCCGCAAAATCCGTTTCGAACGTGCTCGAATTCACATGAGGAAACATGTGAGAAAGTTTACTAATACATGCCAGGCTAATCAATAAACTTGAATTGATTCCTGGAAAACCTCACCGCTCTGTCAAAGACCCCATCCTGGTTACTCGGAGGAACACCTCCGTGTACTGTTGGCGTTACTGCGCGATCTCATCACGAAATAGTATGCAGCCGAGGCACTTGTACGTCTGCGACGATGACCTTAATACAGTGGGGTAATATGAATGATGTATAAATAGCACGCAGGGCTGACACGGCCCCGAGTCTTCGACGGCGTACACCACTGTTCTAGACGAGCGTGAATGCGATGGATCATGAGGTTTGACCTATATCAATCGATGCACATGCTTCCCGCAAGTCCTGTGTGCCCTGTGGAGGGGCGGTGGTCGGATGACGACGCTCACGATTCACAGGAAAGCAGCTTTCATCTCTTTTAACCCCTGATTTTCATTTTGGTACATGCAATAGAGACAGACAGACAGGACAGGACAACGAAGAAAAAACCGAAATGTAGATAAGAAACCGAAGTACAAGACGTAAACAAACAAGGAACGAATAAATGAATTCAGATATCCAAGAGTCCAGGCTGTCCAGCTAGTTTAGGAGAAGTATGTATACAACTGCATGTCGTACAAGATAGAAAAGAGATAGAGAGAGCTCATAGAGCACCCAGGTAATGGAAGGCGCTCGCTCGCTCATCCTACTACGAGTACTTAGAAGCCAGCGCTCTCAGGCCCAACTCGAGGCATTACTGAAGATTAGATCGTGAAGCGGGAGTCATTTTCCGAGTTATATTAAGTGCAGAAGCGAGAGACGGAGCGAAAGAATCGGAGGAGATGTCGAATCCATAGAGACAGCGCCACCATTCTAAAATAAGAGTTGCTGCGTGAGCCTGCACTCCGGGAATGCGGAAATTTGAGAGAGTCGGATTTACTTGCCTATACCTAAGATTTCATGTGAAAAACAGGACTTACTGATACTGGTAGCCATACCAAAGGTTCAAGAAGGCATTGAATCATCCCCGGAATGTAAGATATCGAATTTCAATCCAGGCTGCCGTAATCGAGCTCTGAAAGCAAAGATTCAGGAATTCCCTGAACTAGTGACGAAAGCCTCCGTTCAGGGCAAAGTTTCGGCAGATGGTAAACCTAAGGTTTGCGGGGGCCCGGAATGCATGCCCAGACCTTTGATTCCCGTGCCGACATCCAGTATACCCAAATTAGGATTCATGACCCCGTTCCGGCCCAGGACGCCCCAAACCTTAGTTTCGGCTTTGCCTAACACGGATACCGAAATAAAGTATTCCAGACGGGATTCCGGTAGCACTCACATTTTCAGTACTGGTCTTGCCGAAGTATGTACCGAAACAGATGCTTTCGGCATTGATTCAGGGTAGCTGGAAACAATTAGCTTCGGTTCGAACACCGGAATCTCGTGATCCATTCCTGCTTTCTTTGATTTGAGATAAATTTCACGCCGTCTTGGAACTTTTGATATCGGACGAAATTTCAGCAAGTCTCATTCACTTTCCGAAAAGTTAGGTATAGGTACTATAGTCAGGATGTCCTAAATTTCTACATTTACGGTGTGCTGTTGAAAAGGTCTGCGACAGCGGCCGTACCTGTGTGAGCGATGACAGTCAAATCTGATCCGGTTGCTGGTTAGATAGTATTGGAGGTAAAGCCTTGCAGGTACGCTGTTTTTCCAAATGGCAAGCTTTGTCAGTTGTGTCCGGTGCCTGCGTTTCATGAGTTTCATGGTTCGTGTGCCGCTGCGGACGGGCTTTTTCTCTGATTGGCGTGTTTCGTTACTGGCATTTCTCCAACGCCTGCATTTCCTTCCTGCCATTTTTGAGGTCCGTGGTCACATCCTCGCTTATGCACGATTGGTGAAATTGATGTCATAATTCATTTATCGGGTACATGCAAATTGACAGAATCGGTTTTCTGCTCGTGCTCGAGGTCAATGCAAAGTCGACGCTCAAACGGGTAGCAGTTCCATGTCCTACAAAGTTTTTTGGAGCCCATAGAACACCAAATGAAGGTTGTCTCGATACTAGTTGGTCCCATTTACCTTGCCGTTTACAGCTTCCTCTGCAATCTCTGTTCTCCCGCAATTCCGTAACGCCTGTCGGTAGTGAGCTGGGAAATCTCGCAAACGCGCAGCGGCATTTCTTACGTTTCAGCAGCGGCATGGAAATCAGCAGCTTCGGCTAGGGTTATAGATTATTCACCGAATTCCCGTGCGACGTAGCCGATTGTGATGATGGGGTCATGCCTCTTGCAGGGCTGAGGAGTGGTGGGGGTTAGGTGTACTGCAGTGCGTCGTCGTAGATACCAGGGCTGTCAAGGGAGATAATAATGTCCGACATTCGATTCCGACAGTCGTAGCCCATAATTTGCTCTGCTCAATTGTGCATAATTGTGATGGACGAAGCCATACGGCGCGTCTTGGGCATCAGTGAATGGTCAAGCGGAACAGATGGCTAGCGACAGCTGTAAGATTGAGAAACAGAGGAAGAAAGACGATATACACACGCTTGTGTCCTCC